CAGATTCTCAGCCAGTTACGCACTGATCTACTAGCCGCGAGAGACCAGATGGAAAGCTCATCAAACGCAAATAGACAACCAGCACCAGCATACCGGATTGGGGACCTAGTCCTTTTGAGCACTAAAAATATTACTTCCCCCAGGCCAATACCCAAATTTGATGCCAAGTATATTGGCCCCTTCCGAGTAATTCAAATCATCAATTCACACTCTTACAAGTTACAACTGCCTAGCGAACTCGACTCAATTCATCCAGTGTTCCATACCAACCTACTTCGGCCGGCAGCGGGAACGCCCCTCCCTGGCCAGTATAACCCCCCACCACCACCAATCGCAATAGATGAGAGTGGTGAGACTCTGTGGGCAATTGAGAAGATTCTTAATTCTAGAAGAAGAGGGAGCAAATTCCAGTATCTGATCCGCTGGCGGGGTTACAACGAGACTCACGACTCCTGGGAGCCACTATCAAACGTTATTAACGCACACCAATCAATACGCCAATACGAGAAGGACTTCGCCAATAAACCTTCTCCTACCAAGGTCGAGCGTCAAAAGGCTCTCAAGGAGCATAAGAAAGTGGTGGACGTGTCTGTAGAACCCCATATTTGAGTGTAGCTGAGCTAGAATTTTGGGGCCGGAATTGTCAGTGGGATTTGGAGGAAAGGGGGACCTTATGCAAAGGTTTTTGATTAAGTGAATATGGTAGCTTTGGAAGTCACGGGGAGTGCTTGGACCATTCCTGTTGTATGTAATTCAGCTTCGAACTGTAGACTGGAGAGCTTTGCGAACAATCTATTCATCAACCCCCTCCCTACCTTGACAAAAATGACATGCTAGGCAAGGAGGTAAAGCAATGCTAAGCATTAGCTGTCTTTGTCTCGCGTCGCTCAAAGACTCACATCTTATATTTAAAGAGCATCTAGCTCCTGGGCTCTACTCTCTTCTCTTCTCTCCTTAGCTTAGAATCTGTGTATTAACAGTCTCCTACGATACCACAACCTACACCGTGGACTTCTCTTACGTGTCGTCACAACCTGTTCAGTAATAAGTTACCACCTGATCTAAATTTAAGGTCTCGCAGTAATATCTACAGCCTGTATCTATTACATCACTGTTGGTCATCTTACTACCTCGCTTTCTTGACTACCTTAACTAGTTAACCTTTAGTAATGATAAAGATTATCATTATACCTAACCTTTTATTATATCCTAATTTTTAATACTATCTAGAGATTCTGTTCTAATTGTAGAAATTGCTAAGAGGCTGACGAAGGAAAAGGAACACGACATTTAAGAGGATAAAAAGTCCTAGATTTACAACATCACGTTAGTAGAGGCCAGAAAGGTTACCAGTATAACGATGTTCAATTGTACGTCTAGTAAGTTACCTCCTTGAAATACTAAACCTTCCTATTCTTGTTTTTAGAATAATCCTAATTTAATTCAAGCCCATTTACATCTTTTCTTTTATGATTTGTCAAACATGTTCCTTTAATTAATCGTGCTCAAAGAGCACCACACCCCATCCTTCTGAGGGATATCTCCTATTAATGAAGCGGTCAAGTCTAAAACAAAGATACATCAAATACACAAATTAGGAACATGATAAAGCCAGTTTGTAAAATCAATAACATTTGCGCATCTATCCCTTTACTCCGCGTAGGTAGGACTATTCATTTCTAGATTGTAATTCCATAAGACTGTTTCTACCAAAGGTTGATGACATAGCATACACCAAGCTTCGATAGGCCTACTTCTCGAAATGATGCGGCAGGATATTGTTTGGCATAGGATACGCGTGTTGCTAGTTTAAATCTTAGTTATAAACTTAACACACTAATGTTTCTTACAATTTCTGCCCAATTTAGCCACCAAGACTCGTCATCAATTGAGCGGTATGTGGTGATTCGGCCCCTTTTGCGAATAAATAGAGCTACCTCAAACCCAGGAATACTTCCTAACTCATAGGCTTTCTTAACGAGAGTCCCCTTCCTTCTTGATCCCCCCTTCTGTCGGTTCCTTATAGATGTCATTGTCAGGAAATTTAGAGACTTTTTACGAAAGTCAAGATTTAAGGAAATTGCTCTTTATAGGGTTATTACTTCATGACTTAGATATTGAATCATGTCTCAAAAGTCTAACCAAGGTAACTACAGACCATCAGAATAGTGACTCCTAATAATTCAGGAGTTTAGATTAGCTTAGAAGGTACAATTTATTTAGAGGTACAATTAGTATAAAAGTACAATTAGTTTAGAAGTACAATTAGTTTAGAAGTACAATTAGTTTAGAAGTACAATTAGTTTAGAAGTACAATTAGTTTAGAAGTACAATTAGTTTAGAAGTACAATTAGTTTAGAAGTACAATTAGTTTAGAAGTACAATTAGTTTAGAAGTACAATTAGTTTAGAAGTACAATTGGTTTAGAAGTACAATTTATATAGATGTAAAATTTATTTAGAGGTACAATTATTTTGAAAGTACAACTAGTTTACTTAGATTAACCTTGTCAGTTTCTACGATTTAATGATCACATTAGGTCACTACCTCACCATCTCGCTTAAATTTGATCATCATTTTAGCCAATGATCTAGATATGTATTTGGCTGAATAATGACACAAAAGTGATTGATTGATTATGGGACTGGGAGTGGCTACGTGACCTTATATACAGGAGAATAGTGGGCCGCTAAGTCACATGATACAGCCCGCGACAGTGGGGCTACCACGTGACTACCCAGCACAACAATATATAAACTTGAAATATGACAGTGTTGATAACTATCTTGGGAAAGAACAGGCTAAAGATGCAAAACGCTGGAACAGAAGTCCTTAGCGGGAGAGATAAAAGAATCTTGTACGATAAGCTTGCCAACTTCAAAGGCACCGCTCGGATAGCCATCAAACATTTAACATTTCCATATCCAAGCCGGCAAATTGATAGAAAGATCATTGAGCAGTTGTTGAGAGATTTTAAGGGTGAAGGATGTAGACCAGAGGAACCAGACCACCGAATTCCGGCGATTGTTGATGACTCGGTGTTGGAAGCAGCACTCCAGGTGCAGGGGTTTGAGGGGGGAGATGTCACTTTTGGGGCCACCTATGACGCTGATCAGGGAATGACGTATAAGAGCACGCCTACATTACCTTCCCAGCTTCTAGAGCGCTATAAAGCGGAAATCGACTAACAAATCCTTAAAAATGCTTGTCACAACTCGAACTTAAATCGATGGGAGGTAGGCGGTGGGCGGTGAGCCTTTGGAATAGGCGGTGGATGATTAGAATCAACGGCGAGTGATTAGAATCGTTAGCGGGCGATTGGAATCGACGGCGGGTGATTGGAATCACGTGCTTATACTACTTACGTACAGTAACTCAGTTACTACAAACCCGTGCAAAGCATATTCCCCTTAGGAAACTTACGCGTTGCCACCGCCTCACATTTGACGGAAGTCGAGTTTTCCAGGCGGGGGTTAATGCATATGACGTAGACCCTTGATATTATTTCGCAGAGAGTTTCCCATTCGATTTCGGTCAATAGGCACCCTAGTAGGATTTCATAGGGAGGTTCTATCAGGGGCCTAGTTAAATATATTTCCTAAGGAAATTTCTCAAGAGTTCAAATTTGGCTCCTAAAAACACATTCGCTAAACTTGACTGTTTCGTGTGGAGGTTCCGCATAAAACAGCCGAACCCTCCGGCAACATTGGCTTGAGAAACCTTCCTTTAGAAATCCATCTCCAGAACGCAAAATGACCATTTTACAGCCTCAACATGGTTCGAGTAGGTCCGAAGAGGAGGTTGCTCCTTCACGTCTTTTTAAGATATGGAAGCACATTACCTACACCCTTATCTCCTCAGGTCACGTTGCCGTGCTCTACAAGGAACTAAAAGCTGCTAGTACTAGCCATGAACCTGCTCTATTAGATCAATTAAGCTTAATCACTAACAGGGAGTCGAACGAATCGAACGATGAGTTTAATAACAACGATAACGATATAATGATGCTAAGCGTAGATGAAAGCGAAGTCATCGACGAAGTTTATGACTTTGGCATCCCATCTTCTATGATCGATGAGGCTGCAGACCTTTCACATTATAGCCATACTCTCCCATTACCGAGCTTTAAAGAATTACTGGCCGTAGAGCAGTCACTTCAACATCGCGATGGGCAACATACCGAGCTAGACGAGACTCCAGTCCGCTCCGGGTCGATATCAAGCACGCACTAATCACTAACAGGGAGTCGAACGAATCGAACGATGAGTTTAATAACAACGATAACGATATAATGATGCTAAGCGTAGATGAAAGCGAAGTCATCGACGAAGTTTATGACTTTGGCATCCCATCTTCTATGATCGATGAGGCTGCAGACCTTTCACATTATAGCCATACTCTCCCATTACCGAGCTTTAAAGAATTACTGGCCGTAGAGCAGTCACTTCAACATCGCGATGGGCAACATACCGAGCTAGACGAGACTCCAGTCCGCTCCGGGTCGATATCAAGCACGCACCCGGAGTCTGCATTTATGGCACCCTCTCCACTCATATTACCGTCGTCCAACTTAGACCAGAACCAATGGTTGAATTCTCTTAATATAGATGCGACATTAGTTTATCACTTTCTATCACAAAGGCAAGAATGCTTCGTCAAAGAGACGAAAATAATGCCTCAACAACCAAGTTCGGCTCTACGAAGCAGAAAGCGTTCAAAAAAACCTAGAGGGATCCGACTAAGCGTTAAGAATGACTTGTTACCCGCGAGCATACTTGATGTAGCTGACCGTCTAATTGACAAGGATTCAATATCTTATNGAGGGATCCGACTAAGCGTTAAGAATGACTTGTTACCCGCGAGCATACTTGATGTAGCTGACCGTCTAATTGACAAGGATTCAATATCTTATTTTCTTGATAATTGTTAAAAGATTCACGAGGGCTAGATGCTGTTTTTACCTCAGCCTCTGACTTGCTTTGATGGTCCTAAGGTTCGCGGGTTAGGTCCTTCTCTCCGTTGATTTCGCATTTTCCATCATCGTCTCGTAAGAGGTCGGTTCGACCTGCAAGGAGTCCGTGCTGGGGAAATGGAGGTGCCTCATCTTTGGTCGAAGTTTGTTTGAAGTGCTAGAGTACAGAGATGGCGAATATCGGGGCTGTGGTTGCCTCGTGTCGTTCACGGTGTTCCGGATATGCTTGACTCGAAGCCTCCTTGCCTCTTTGCCTCCTCCTCATCCATGGAATGATTAGCGCTTGTCAAGTGACTACCCTCTGATGCCGATCCATTCGTCTTGGAAGTCGCTGTTGTAGTTTTGAGGGACGACATTTTCGATAGAGCGTTGATCCTGTTTATCTTGCACAGTGAGATAGGTCCTGGAGGGGAGATGGGTTCTATCGTCGCTGTATTCGTCTGTCGAGTCTGTTTGACTCAATAAGCCTAGCAAAAGGTTCAACAGCAGGCTCGACAGCAGGCTCAACAATAGCAACAAGCCCATCAACAGGCCCGAGAACAACAATAGTAACAATACGGTTACTCGAGGCATAGTTCTCAACAACCTGAGATGCTTACGCGCACTTCGCTCGAGTTCTTTATGCTTGTAACTGTAAATAAAGTTCTCGTACTTTCTTCGCCTCACTTTGACATCACATTCAGCTGCAAGAAGCCAGGGGAGGAGTTCGTATGACGAATTCCCATTTCAGGTTACAAACCAATTTTTATTGTTCAGGGGCGCGCTCGAGTGATTGGGTCAATTCCATTGTGACGCTATCACATTAATGCACTTTAAAGGAGTAGTGACTGATCAACTTTCATCAATTCTTTCTCTGTGGGAAATATTGCTTGCACACAGCTCACACGAGCCAATGCGGTCAGCGTGCCTCACGAATTCGCTAAACCCGACAGATCAAAGCTTTTCCCCCCTCAGCTACTCGAGCTCATAGCAACGGATTTTACAGCTCTTGCACACTTTTATAGTTTATGGAATGCTAGAATAGCACTTTGAGACTTAATCCGCACCACAGTTTTTCCACACGATATTCAGACTACACTAGCTTCACAATTGACTCTCCTTGTTTTGAACTTCGGGCCCCATATTGAATACGCTCGAGCTATTCCGCCTAGCTGAAGTACTCCTGCACCCATGCTCTGTAGGGTATAGTGTTAAAAGTAAAAGTGCTACCTGAGGACATATCAAAAATCGCCTCTTAAGGTGGAGTACCCTGGCCCATTAGCGTTTCCAGAGCTCTCCTGACTAAGAGAAGTGACCAACAAACCCGCAACCGAGCTAGTTCAAGGTGGTGGTTGGGTGTTTGATTGTATATTTTTGACATTTCACGGCCTAGCGGCTACTTCCAGGCTCTGAATACGTGGCGCGGTTTGTCGCTTAGAGGCTAGAGCGAGAGCAGGGGATGCTAGATGCGTGCGGACAGGTATATAAGAAGCCTTCATCTCCCACATCTGTGTTTTGAATCTAATTATTAAGTTACAAAGCCTTCATCTCCCACATCTGTGTTTTGAATCTAATTATTAAGTTACAAAAGCACTCGACTAAATATTTACTCCACACTCTAAATGACCACATTTATTTCTTACGTCCGGAAATCACCAAACGCTACTATTCGGAAGCATTCTCCTCAACATTGGGTAAGGATTGAATCAAGTGATGTGCTGGTTGAAATGTTGCCGACGCCTAGAGGAGCAACAATCGACGAGAATTGGAAAGGCACAGCTGGAACTGAGGTCATAGCTCAAATTATATGTACAAAACCCATCATACTGTTGTCGCCGTCTTTGTCTAACAATATATAGCGGACCTGATATCGGCAGAAGAAGGACCAGGTGTCAAGAGCGATGATCAATCTTTGGATGTCACTCCCTTTAGCCGGGAATCGAAAGCTGGCAGCAGCTATGGTACGTGAGCTGGGTTCCTCAGGCGTAGTGCATAGAATTATTGTTTATAGTACTACAGATAAGCTGATAACACCGGATAACGATAATAATCTCAATGCCGGAAACGCTCGTTGTATTCCGGATAACAGGCCGCCGGGTAACCACGTATTAAAGCCGGAAAGCCCACAACCACTTTCTAATCGCACAGCCGACGAGCATGACAATATTGATTATGTCATTGATAAGGAAAAGGCTCCGCGGGTTTCCAAACGACAGAGATCTGACTCTCCTCTCTCTCGAATAAACTCACACTGCTATAAAAAGCGACAAAAGCGTTCTCGTTCACCAATTCCAGAGAACGACAAGGGCGACAGGGCTTCTAGCATCAACTACGACCTATATTGGATGGCCCGCGAAATCATTGGCGAACATAATGTTAATGGTGTAAAACACTACTTAGTGTCGTATACCAGCTATTTCAGTCACACCCTTCCCGTTTCGTAATTCTGGTTTCGTAAGATTTTGGCAGGAACTGTGGGGTTGATGGGTATTGGGTACTGAAGGCCATGGAGAATTGATTAAATTATAAGAAGTAGGCTAGCTATGGTAGTGCTTGAAATATACAGGGTTTTGGATGAACATCAAGTATGCTCGCGGGTGACAAGTTATTCTTAACGCTTAGTCGTATCCCTCTAGGCTTGTTTGAACACTTTCTACTTGGTAGAGCCGAACTTGGTTGTTGAGGTATCATTTTCTTCTCTTCGACGAAGCATTCTTGCCTATGTGATGGAAAGTGATAACTTAATGTTGCATCTATATTAGGAGAATTCAACCATTGATTCTGGTCCAAGTGGGACGACGGTATTATGAGTGGAGAGGGTGCCATAAATGCAGAGTCCGAGTGCGTGCTTGATATCGACCCGGAGCGGACTGGAGTCTCGTCTAGCTCGGTATGTTGCCCATCGCGATGTTGAAGTGACTGCTCTACGGCCAGTAATTCTTTAAAGCTCGGTAATGGGAGAGTATGGCTATAATGTGAAAGGTCTGCAGCCTCATCGATCATAGAAGATGGGATGCCAAAGTCATAAACTTCGTCGATGACTTCGCTTTCATCTACGCTTAGCATCATTATATCGTTATCGTTGTTATTAAACTCATCGTTCGATTCGTTCGACTCCCTGTTAGTGATTGAGGTTGATTCTGCTTGTGCGTGCTTGATATCGACCCGGAGCGGACTGGAGTCTCGTCTAGCTCGGTATGTTGCCCATCGCGATGTTGAAGTGACTGCTCTACGGCCAGTAATTCTTTAAAGCTCGGTAATGGGAGAGTATGGCTATAATGTGAAAGGTCTGCAGCCTCATCGATCATAGAAGATGGGATGCCAAAGTCATAAACTTCGTCGATGACTTCGCTTTCATCTACGCTTAGCATCATTATATCGTTATCGTTGTTATTAAACTCATCGTTCGATTCGTTCGACTCCCTGTTAGTGATTGAGGTTGATTGATCTAATAGAGAAGGTTCATGGCTAGTACTAGCAGCTTTCAGTTCCTTGTGCTTCTATATCTTAAAAAGACGTGAAGGAGTAACGTCCTCTTCGGACCTACTCGAACCAAGTTGAGGCTGCAAAATGGTCATTTTGCGTTCTAGGGATGGATTTCTAAGAGGAAGCTTTCTCAAGCCAATGTTGCCGGAGGGTTCGGCTGTTTTATGCGGAACCTCCACACGAAACAGTCAAGTTTAGCGAATGTGTTTTTAGGAGCCAAATTTGAACTCTTGAGAAATTTCCTTAGGAAATATATTTAACTAGGCCCCTGATAGAACCTCCCTATGAAATCCTACTAGGGTGTCTGTCAGCGTTGTCAGTAGTCCCAAAATCATTGTGCGCCAGAATCGACCCCTGCGGCTAGAATTCCCTTGTGCCAGGTGTGCACGCACTAATGGTATAGCAATAAGGTGGGGTTACAATGATTTATTTATATACTATTTATACCCCTATGCTTTATATGTGATATACTAGCTCCACTTAAATTGGAAATCTAAAATGGCAAAAAGAGAAGAACCGCCTCTACAACACGCAAGTTTTCCGTAGTCCACCATATGAATATGGGGAGCGAATTGCCCAACTTGGCACTAGGGCAGTGTTACTACTCCTTTCATTTTGGCTATCCATGCCAGTTAAAAACTGTGTGCTAAGAATGCCCTCTGCCGCCCAGCCGTACGCATAGAAGAAGATCCGCCAATTATATAGCTGGAAAGCTCCCTTAGATTCGGGGAAAACCTGTAGTATCTTTATTGAACAATACTGGTCAGCTTTCCGCAACGTTAATAACAAGGGGAGAGTATTCAGTTTTTAATATTAGAGCCGAAGCCGTCGTGGGTCTAGCAAGCTATTAACAGAGTGTAACAGTGAAACCGGCGCTGATTGAGCATAATACATGCAGCTGAAACATGCGTAGCCTTTTCGATACGATAAACAAGGCCTCATGCTAATCAAGTTCTGTCCAATTTACATCTAGAAACGAGGTAAAGACACCGAAGGTAGTAGTTGAGTCCGGAAAGGGGTGTTGCGTGAGAAGATTTAGTTAAGCCGTCTTTTACAGCAGTATAGTAAGCGGAGCAAAAGTTGGCATCTTTACTACATTTGTTTTACAATTTACGATTTGTTTAGTAGACAATTCGTACACTTGAGATGCTATATATCTCTAATTTAGAAGAAGAGAAGGCTAAAATTTCCAACTACAGTATCATTCAATAGATGACCTAAAAAACTACCGTGATTTCCATTCTTGTGAGACCCCTTCATTGCGGGCACCCCAGGCCACCATGCTATTCTTTAACTCGATGAACTCATTTTTCCGCCGTATAACCTCCTTCCTCACTTCTTCAATCTTTGCGAGAAATATCGCCTTCTTTTCATCCATAGCAACTAAGTCTGCTTCACAATCATGAATGCTCTTTTCCATCCCTGCTAACCACTGACTGCTGTGATGTATCTCATCCGCCAAGTGCTGTTTGACCGTGGTCTTTCGCGGAGGTTGCCGACGTTTGCTTGAATTGTCAGAACCTGTAGAGCGCTTCCTCTTCTTGGTGTTGGGATTCTCATTAGGTGTAGGGTGTGAGTTCGCCTCGGTACTGATGGGTGGATCAGAATCTGTCATCAATTATTAGTCTAGCAAATATCAGATATAAATGGACACTTACTTAGGCTTGAAGAGGACGAGAGCCCGGGTTTCGGCGTACCGGGAGGTGTGACATACTTGTCATCGCCGTCCGCTCCAGTAAGATCAATGACCGTCTGCCGTGGGGCGGACTTGGATTGAGCTTGCGTAGTCGAGAGGGTGGCAGGCTCACCCCAACTCGTAAGCAAGCGGCTTACTCGTTCCTTGATTTGAAGCTCGTTATACCTCGGGATCATCTCTATCTTCATGATTTTCCTCAGTAACCTTCTAATCATTGTATCCTGAATGATGCTAGGTGGTATGGTTCCGGCTTTCTCAATTCGACCCAGGTCAGAGGAAATCTCATCCATACTCTCTTCTATTGACTTCTGATTCGTAGGAAAAAACTCTCCCTCCAGCTTTTGCCGTAGCGAAAGAATGTACTCCTTAAATACAGTTAGTATCAAAGTGCCAAAGTCTGTTATAAGATCATACCTCAAGAGTCTGCACCGTAGCTGTCGATGATTCTACATCGACGCTTGTATGATGTTCCGGATTTTCTGGGGCTGAAATATCCAAAGGTTTCGCGGTAATCGACACAACATCATCACCTGCAAGACCGGAGCTCCCCACTAGAAGGGATTCTTGTGTTCCTCCTGTAGACTGAATTTTTGGACCATGGCCCTCGAAACTCAGTTCGGCCCCAAAAAAAGACTCAATTTCTAAAAAAGCTGAGATATCCGATAAACCTGGGTCTAAAGGAATTTGGGAACCCCAGTTGGGAGGAGTTGATGAGTCCGAGTCTGAGGGCCAATCGAGCTCTATGTTTGGCCCATCGGTCACTGGAGACTGGGTTGGTGGTGTCATGCTGGTGGGAGACGTTGGTGGTGTCATGCTAGTGGGAGACGTTGGTGGTGTCATGCTAGTGGGAGACGTTGGTGGTGTCATGCTGGTGGGAGACATTGGGGGTAAAGATTGTCTGATGGGAAAAAATGCTTAAGGATGATGAATGTGTCCTGACAACTGGGAGGAAGCTGCCTTCTTATACCCCTCTTCTCAAGGGATTGTAGATCACGGGTACGGAAGTAAAAATGTCACTTGTGATGCTGATTGAGGCAGTGTACATCTATCTGGACCACCTTGTTAGCCATGTATGGCTCACGGTAAAGCCAACCGTCAGAAATAACTGGGGACGTTCGGGTTATGGGTACAGATTGAGTCAAGTCATGCTCTTAGTATGCTTTAGTACCCCTCTTGTATGAGGATATGTGGGATATCCACAGCTCGCGGATCACCCCCGATAGGATTTATCCAAAGGTAACCACTCGTAATTAAGAAGGAGGAACCTTTCTGTAATGTGATTAGTGAAAAGTTTTCTATAGGGGCTGTTGGGTGGCTATAGAGGGGCATTCTCAAGCCAAATCTCTCCACCAGCATGCATTTGGAGGCAGCAATGACTTTTCAGCAGAGATCCTAGTCAATGATGATCATTATCGAGCAAGCTCAATATAGATAAGGACCGTCACATATCACAGACACGCAGAACCTTCTCGACAGTGCCAAAAGGTTAATCAAGAGGATAGAATTTCCCCTCTTCAACTACGAAGAGTCAGCTTGTTAGACACTAGAAGGGCTAGTTATTTATTAGGCAACATTAACGAAGCTTTCGGAGATGAGGCCCTTCCTTTTCAGCCAACGAAAATCTTCAAATTGTATCAGCAGTAGAGAGTCTTTCCCTTGGTCGCGACCAAATAACCGAACTCGCATCCCTCGCTAGGAACTTGCCGCACTCAAAGATCCTGTCATCGATTACACCCTAAGCCTACTTCGATGTTTCTTGTGCTTGTGGCAAGTGAGCAGGCAGCCCTAGCTCTCTGGCTGCTACCAGTAAGAGCATACTCTCCTCGGCGCTGCACACCAACCATGGTTAGTTTCATTGCAAAGATCCCTGAGCAACAGCTAATATGCTTATTGATGCAATGTGATAGAGGTGCAGCGGACGACATTCCGTGAAGAAGAATGATAATAGAGATCAGAAATATCGCTTTGTGTCCCGCTATTTTCCCCTCCCCTTTTCTTATCTCGCTTAAATATCCGCGTCGGGGGCTGTTTCCCCTTCCTATGCATTTCTATGCCAGGTATCAAGCGTGGACTCCAATTGCACCCGAAGTCTGCCTTGCCAAAGAGTGGAACCGGGAAATGGAAGGCGTAGATGTGCATACACGAGACGATCAGCTGCTTGCTCTGAACTTTCGTGACGGAAATGTCTTGAAATCCTACCTATATAAGAGGGGGGTCGCTTGAGTTTTGAGAGAACAAGATTCTCGTCTCGACCACCTCTGTTCGTTCTTATCTCTATAACCTCATTTCGTTATACCCTGTCGGAAGCCTCCAAAATGTCGAAAACCTTTCCAGCACTATCTATAACCGGGAAAAATTACGCTTCTTCCGCCACCTGCAACTATGTTTTCCTCCCTCTGTACGACTATGGGTCGGCTTATGGAATCACGGCTGAAATTGATCGAGCGATTATTGGTCTTAGCCCTGATATTATTCTAGAATCTTGTTACGAGATTCAGTCCCGCCTGGACAAGAGGCTGAGCCACGTCTCTCATATCTTACCTCTTCGGGAAACGTCAATACTTTGCAAAAGAATGTTCTCATCCGCTCGAGATAGCCGGCTAGACTTTGCGTTAACAACTCTTGACTTGAAGAGCATCCCTGGAAAACTTATCCACGATATCACCTCGACCCCTCTTCACTGTGCCCTACTCATCGTCGAGATGCGCCACATCAACACAGAACGGAGGAGCGCCGGAGACAGAATTTTTAAAGATCTTTTGGACAGCCTGGAACTTGCTACGCACTCTGTGTTTTCGATGCTTGCGAATCTTTACCGCGAGACACCGGACTCATTGAGAATCCAGATATCAACCCATCATGGATTTGGAGTCTTTCTAGCATTAGGGATGCTTTTTGAGGCCTACGGATCACGGTGTGCGCCAGTGAACACTGTGTACCTTCTATCTGGTCACGTACTGGAGAGAGAACACTGCTCTGGGCACGCGCTTACACATTTCAAGACGGTCTGCAAGCTAAGGAAATACATCTTATCAGTATTGGAACCATCACCTGAGGGGGTCGGCGCGGAGATTCAAATTTGGGAGCACTTACTTGAACGACTTCTGACGGCATTGAACTCTTTCCCATGTGTCGCCAGATACGACGATAACCATCCTCACTGGTTAGGCTTAATTAGTGTACTGCACAACGAGGCAAATTCCTTACCAGAGGTTATGGGGACTGCAAGGTTTCAGCGTTTGCTCGACAGACTTTGAAGCAGAGATTTTGGCATGGATTTATTTCGGTTTTGGAAGGTCTTGATTGAGAATGGCATAAACCCGGGTAGATAACAAGAATTGTGTTTCTACGGATATGAATAACCAATGTTGAAAACAATAGCCCCTATAAACTGTATAGAAAGATTGAAATTACCGCTTCTATACTAACCCTACAGAAGGAATTCAAAAAGGTTTCTTGAAATACTCCAACTACTAAGTTCCCTTATATCTTCGCTGTGACAATGCTATAGTATTGGAAATATTGAAGAGATGTCATTTAAAAACGCTAAACGGCGCTACAAGCTTAAACTCTACGTAATTCAAAAATCTTTTGCCTCCGGCTCTAGCAAACTCCATTTCAGATAATACAGATATTAAGGTGCTGTTGTGATAGGTAGCCTTGCTGATTCTTTTATACCGTTTTCTGCTTTCTCGCTTTGTCTAGCAAGTAAAATCCAAGAACATGATGGTACCTTGTCCGGTTCGACGCGATATGCGTGTTGAGAGTGGTAATCGAAGGGAGGGGAAATTAACTAGTAGGCGATATAAATTGTGCTTCTAATTGTGAGCACGTGCACGTGCCATTTCCCACTTTGCCTTAGACATCAGAGATTTCACTTTGTACGAAGAGCTCTCTCTTCCCCTCTCTTCCCTCTTTGGCTTATTCTCTTTGAAATTATAATACCTTTTACTTACGCTATAAACTTTATGTTGGGACAAAATAGAAACAAAAGTGATTAATTAATTATGGAACTGGGAGTGGCTACGTGGCCTTATATACAGGAGAAGAGTAGGCCGCTAAGTCACATGATACAAACCAAAACAGTGGGATGCAACATATGTAAATCTAACGTCCGTCCCTGCGTGCCAAAAAACCCTGTGTTCCGAAAAGCCTGAACAGTTTTGGAGCTTGGAAAATTAACCACGCATAAATAATAAGTTATATTTAATTTACTATTGTTTCTTAGCTACTTCTCTGGATGTATACAGAACTCAATAGGGAAATATCACAGTTGTAGTGATTATATTAATCGTTTTGTCGCCTGAGTTAAGATTTACCTAATCTGTTTACCCCTGCTCTAACTTGACTATTGGGCTGTCTTGTGATTTCGGGGCAATAGAATAAAGCTCCTATCAAAAAGACATAAAGATAATAATTTTTGAAGCTATAGAGAACAAAGAATGTGTGACGGTTCTAACCGTCACCACCATTCGGATCACGTGGTCTCGCTTAGCGACCCACACCAAGTATTTAGATCGAAGCTCTCTCGAGCTCTCCTCTTCTCCTCAGCTTAGAATCTTTGTTTAATTGACAGTTCTACGATTCCACAACCTACACCGTGGGCCTTGCGTACGTGTCGTCACAATAACGACAAGGCACCGTGGGTTTCTAAACGACAGAGATCTGAGTCTCCCCTCTCCGACTCCGATGGAATAGTCTTACACTACGTTAAAAAACGACAACGGCGTTCCCCTTCATCAATTCTAGAGAACGAAAGGGACGACGAGGCTTTTAGCATTCAGGCTTACGGCGACCTTGGTAGCAGGGATATCGCGTGGTGAGCGTCTGTCAAACCTGGCACAAGCAGCCGCTAACCCAACCCGGCAGAATCCGGCAGAATCGCTAAATTTCATGTTAAGGTTTAGTGCTCTTCTGCGCCTCAGATTGTTAGTAAGCTGAAAAGATCGGGATCTAAGATTGACGTGACGCTAGTGTGTGTACACCCTTGACCTAGTAGTTGGAGACAGCTGCAGCCGAAAGAGGGATTTTGCTGAATTCTATCAACTGACCATCCCTAAATATGTTCTTGGTGTGAAGTCTATTATTTCTTTCACTTTTTGTAGTTGGCTTTGAGAAGATAGCTTTCGCTGATCTCTCTGTAAACACTTTGTACAAGGCCCAAGACCCAAATAGTCTAATTGAAGCCTTGCCTGCAAGTTTGATCCTCATGCAATTATGCCTAAAACTCTGCCTTCGTGAACCTGTCAGGCCTCCCCAATGGCTTGTAGGAAATGTTTCGTCAATTCCTGACATACAAATGATCTATCCATCCACTCGATACAACCATGAACTGGGCTCCCTGGCTTTTTCAGGTTCGATAATCTGAGGACGTTCTTCTTCGGCGGCTTGCCTTCGCTGGATGTTGCTGCTTGAACCTCAAAAACTGAGCGAGTGGTCCTTGTTAACGTGTTCTGGTCTGTGCTCTGCCCTTCGCCTGTCCCACCCGACTCCATCCTCTATGGTTTTCACTTGAGGTTGACCCTAGATGATCGCATTACCTGTCACATTACCCCGCTCAATATTTGTTTTTATCTCCCGATTCACCACCTCTAGTAGAGCTTCTCCAGAGTGCACTGTCCTACAAGGTTTCACCTGCTCAAAGCGAAGTGTTTCAAATCAATGCTCATCTCCAGGTTCGTGGGATGCATCACGCATAGATGTTGAGTAGTCGTATCGCATGTATTAGGTGGAAAGGCAAGAGTTTCCGAAGAGGCAAGGGTTGATTGGCCCAGAACAGTACTGTAGGATCATTACCACAGCCGATATCAAGAATCCGGCTTCAATTTCCGCTGCCCGCTTTACCTATCAACGAATTCGCGTGCGGTTCTTTTCAAATGCTTCGTACGACAACCTCGAGATATAAAAGGAGCTGTGTAAAAGTTTCCGCCAGGCAAAGCTCGATCACTACTCTCGAAAAAAAAGATCACGCTTTGCGTTAGCTAAGAGAGACAAAATTCCGGTATGTTTCACTCTATGCAGTTAGGGCAGAAGCGAAGATTTCTTATTAATTTCTCCTGTAAGATGTGCGAAAAAACAGTGTCCAAGAAAATATGGGCGTGTGGGGATGAGGAAACCCAAGAAGTGAAATTTAAAGCTTGTAGCGACATGAGCAAACCAGGCCACAGTGTCAAAACCAACACGCTAGGCTCCAAGCGGGTTGGAGAAAAATGTGGAAAGTTTGGCTGCCGCAACCCCTAAAGGTATGTCAGCACTTTCTCGCTCGAATGATTTTCATGCTAATAATTACAGTACAAATGGAGATGGCCCGACCTGCTTAGTTGATTGAGCGACTGAAGGGTACTTCCACGGATAAACTGAAACTCAGGACTATCACGTTCACAAACGATTATGATTTAAGTTACTGCTTAGCTAGTCACACTCCTTAATGGATACAAAAAATGCCAATACCGTTCATTATCTAATCTCTAAGCTCTCGTGTACTGTACTGTAACAGCGTGACATGACAGCGATGACTAAGCGGCTGCAGGCACAACATGCACGGATGTTCGGATCCTGCGCATTTAAACTTCCCTGGTCTCCATTCCAACGTCTGATGTACACCGAAAAATGGAGTCTTTAACATACCGTGGCTCTACCTCGGACTTCTTTCGTTTCAGCTCAGGCATTATCGTGAAATCACCTATGAGGGTTTGGGCAGGAAATCCCAACCAGCAGAAGCTAGAAGAAGAAATGGAGAAAGCTATCTCCTTTGAACAACAGGTTCTGGAAAAATTGGGTGACCATCCTAGGATCGTTCCGTTAGTACACCTCGTGAGTCATAAATGACCGTAAAGCTAATCACTCATAGATATCTAGGTCCTCATTCTTCATCTAGGGGCATTAAGCTTAGTGAAGCAAGCCATGGGAATCTACAGGCATACATTGACTCTGGCGTACCAATTGACAATTCTCTTCGTTGGAAATGGTCTCTACAAGCGGTCGAGGCCGTGGTATACGTGCACCATAAAGGCGTTATCCACTCAGACCTGCGACCCGAAAACTACCTCGTACATACCACGAAGAAGGGATCGCTAGACCTCTGGCTTTGCGACTTTGGCGGCGCGAGATGCGACAGCGTAGGGTTGAATGTCTCCCACCTGCCCGATGAACCTTTTTTTGACCCTCGCATGCCCTGGAATTCGACATCAGCAGTTGATATCTTCAGTCTAGGGTCCATGATCTACACTATTCTGACAGGTCATTGGCCATATAGGGAGGGGCCTCCCCCGGTGACCGTAGAGGACAAAAGTGTCTATGAGGCCTACGTTAATGGGATGTTTACAGCGGGTCGTTTCCCAGACGTGTCCTGGTTGAAAGGTGGGACAGTAATAATGAAATGCTGGAATCACCAGTACAGCACGGCAGAGGAGGTGCTGTTACAACTTACAGCGCTGGTCAATTAACGTTTATGGGAGTGTACGTCCGCTATTTTGACGTCTACATCTTCTTCTCCTCTATTTCACGTCTTCACTTCACGAGGCGTCACTTCCTCCCGGCATGGTAGATGGGGTAACGTGGTGGAATTGTTTCATCTTCAATCTTTGGGGATGGGAACTGTGAGGGTACAGACGTGGAGGAAGCGATGTGGCCCGTGCCCTTGGAACTGTAAATAGCCTCAGATCTTACGATCACTTCCACTCTTTGTAGACAATTTAGTTCTTACGCATACAGTTGACCTTGTCGCTATCGCACCCTTACAGGAACGGAGACAGCAGCGGGATTCAAAGACGGACTTATGATATTAAGGACGATGAGAGATTGCTCATGGTGTTAGTGATTTAGGGTTTCTCTTTACGCTGAACTTAGCAATTAACTCAAGTCGACTTGAAGGCTTCCTGTTAAATTTGACTTCTAGGCGTTCGTTGTGATTTTTTTACAACCTACCGTATCCGGCAGGTAGCGCTATATGGATTGGCTTTGTAAATATATCACTATTGCTCCTTACGGAGCGGCACACAAATACTCGCTCCTGATTCGTCGAAGGCTTTACGAATAGCCACAGGAGCGAGCGTTTGAGAGCGATGGTAGGCGATCCAGAAGAAGGGAATGTATGGAATATCGAAGAATAGCTCTTCTCGAGAGAATGAAGATGTTGAGGCAGAGGTCTTTAATTCGTAAAACGCTCATGACCGCAGTTCTCTCATCCACGATTTCGGTCTCATCCATTCTATGCTAACAAATAATATGGACGAGAACAAATTCAAGGAGCCCTTTGATAATTATTTCTATATCTCCTTGGAAGACTAGATGGAAGCTGTGACTGGATTGGAACGCGATTTACGACCTCGACACCGAACACTCTCGAAGGATCATAAAACTCACATTCACCTCGCCGTACAGAGAGAACAGCATTACGCGGCCGTTCAAATGTCTATCTCGCCATTCTCCCTTCGATTTATCCCAGAACAGAAGTTTTATTCGTGCAGGTTTCGCTACACCTTGTGTTGCGCAACGTCAATACCGAACGACATTCTGAGCGCTGCGGTACAAAGTGTATATGATTTTTACTACCATCCTACTCAATGGGACTTCTCAAGCATACACTGGTATGTCCTAAAGGATTGTCGCAATAATGAGATCTACTCACAAATTCTAGCTGTACTAGCGATCCACCCACCAATGAATCCAGCTTAACCACGCCCACGTACGTGGAGAAGGCTGAATCGGCGCTCATCGCATATATACAGCATGCAAATAGGGAAGGAGGAGGATGGCCTTAAATCACTAGAGAATTCAGATGTCAGCAACGCCACCGATAGGCCTACAAATCGAGTCAAGCGACGAAGACTGAATATCTCTGACGGTGTTGGCCCCGGCACTGTTATCACTGGCAGTAACAATCACGAGGATTTTCTATCAGGGATTCAATCAAGTGCTCGTTCAGACAATGTAGACCAAGGAACCAGAGAAACCAGTATTGTTATAGATCTTACGAAGATTCAAAAGGCGTTAGAGCAGAGCGTTCCTGCTGAGAAGAAGAGGGCCAGAGGTTGCCTTCGAGGGCAATCGCTCATACTGCTCGATACTTGATTATCATCGGCCTATTACATCCAAAAGCTCATTTTCCGTGGCATATGTGAGTTGTTTTTATGGAGTAGTAGAAGCTTACGTAAGCATCAGCTTTCCCCTAGGGTACCAATACACTGACGCCCCGGCGTCAGTTTAGAGCTGACTAAGCGCGGGTTTTCACGCCCCCCCACCACCGAAATGCGCGCGCGTCGCATTTACATCTACCAGCACTGTACTTTGGACTGTAATCAATGCACGCCTGACATAGCTACATAGCGAAAATGGACGTTCAACTCTCGCTGTCGCCACTGCCCTTACATTCACCTGAGCAACCACTTGAGCCAGCGTCAGCAGATGCCACCCCTCATACGTCTATGCCACTGCCTCCAGAGGCTATATATAGCTCTAAAGAAGAGCTATATACTTCAATTCAAGCCTGGGCAGCACATCATTGCTATGCTTTTCGTATTGGACGGTCAACAAAGATCCATGGCGGTCCTAGGACGAAGATCACGTATAATTGCGACCGTTACGGCCTACCACTGTGAGAGGCCAGACCTCGAACAACTCAAAGGTGTGGGTTCAATATTCAATTAAGAACTACGTGGTCTGTAAATACATGTTCCTCCTCTACTCTTATACTAAATGTAGCATTTCCATTGCATTCAACACTGTTCCATAGTATTACCAATCTTCTGCGTCATAGCATTCTATCTTATTCCATGGCGTTCCAGAGGCGGGGTCGCTTAGCTTAGCGAGGGCTCTAGGCCCGAGCCCCACTATGGGTTCTAACCCTCACAGTGTGTTTGATTTACTCCTTGGCTATGCTGACAACATGCTAGGTCTTGACAAGAATACTAAGCAGGCGCCTCGAGAAGGCTATTCATATTCTGCAAAGTATCACTCTGGCGAAATATTCCGCTATATGCGGCTCTGTCAACATAACTATGATATCCCTGGAGTGCAACGTTGGCGAGGAAGGCTTACCCCCACCCAAGATATCTTGCTCGCAAAACTATTAAAGCGAGACATGCTTCTCGAGGCATTAGACTCTGTTTTACACGTCCAAGGCTTCTAGAGGGGGTTCTACCTAGGCTCAGTCGATGTTCTTTTGTTTCTAAAATGCGATAAAGTAAATCTATATAGTCACTTCAAGGAACAATGCTAACGTAATATAGGAGATTGCGCGGTGTATTCAATATATGAAAATGATTTGGACTCGTATTTTCAAAGGCGACATGGCGGCATTGATGAATACTGATCCCACCACTATTCAAGCCATACAGTCGAGGGCTCCAGCCCTGTCGAAGTCGGACTTCGAATACGTTGAAAAACACATGCGGTCAGGCGAACTTTTCCCAGGAGTAATAAATTCGACAATAAGGGCGGACATTTCTCAGCTCCTGCTAACTACCGAGGAGCTTATACCGACCCTGAATACACTGCTTGAATACATTAGATACTTGAAGCAGCCAGCCACGATCCTTAGCACCTTATTGCCAAAGTCCCCGAAATCCACTCTTCGCCAGCGATACCATCGGCATTTTCGAGCAGCGGATTCAAATACTATCCAGGTGCAGCAGAGTGCATCGGCCTACACTATAATAACAAATCGTCTGGATGCTTTTGATCTCTCCTATCAACAGTTATGACTTTGCTCATATAGAATTTGCAAATACCCTAACGCATACGGACGGCACGAGTTGGCCCTCCTCGCTAAACAGAGTCTGGCTGGGAAAGCACGAAGATTAACGATGAACTCAAAGTTATAAGGCTCTCTTGGTGGTGTAAGGGTGGCTATAGCTTTTGTGATATTAGCTATGTGAAGTAGACTATTAATTCTGCCTGTGATGCGAGGGTTAGAACCCTTCCTAATTGAATATTGAAACCATACATTTGAGCTATTCGAGGTCTTGTCGGGGTATTGATTAGATTGATCGCAAAGAAAAAAGAGTTCCTAGATTCATTTGAAGCTTAGATGCTTAATAGAACTCACAACCTCGAAACAACCAATCTATGCGACAAACGTTGAACTTCTAAACTTTTACATATAAGAATTGCAAGACTTCTGTTAAGTTGAATTTTCTGGGGGTGACGTAAGTCATGGAGAATTGATTGAATTGTAAGAGATAGGCTAGCTAGGGATATAAAAGGAGTGAGTGTTGAAACAAGAAAGTATTACGTTATGGTAGCGCTTTGAACAAGTGACATAAAACGAGTGATGATGCCAGTGATCATACAACTGATCGAATGGCCGATAAAACTGTAAATGAAATAATATGATCACCTCGTTTAAGTTGATCACTATAATCATCACGCTTAATTATTACTATGATTATATGGAATCACACATGCATTAAAATTGATACATCCTAAAAATGGTGACAGGTATCAGTTTTAGACCACATTAACGTTTAACAGTAGAAGAGGTAACCAGTTTGATTACTCCTATAGAAAATAGCGACCAGGAGAGTAGTAGAGAGATAAAAAGAGGGTTCGGGCAGGGAGGCACTGTAGGCGTTGTAACAAAATTGTAGATACAAAAGATAGCGGCGACCCCGAAGAACCTTAAAGTATCTTGTATTATATAATAGCATGTTCTGGTGTTGAGTAATTTACATTTAAAAACAGGTAGTTCGGAAAAGTGGCCAGCTCGCTTGTGAAACACGCTAAGCATCTCTTTAATTTTCTCTTCTAGGTCGTTTGCTAGTTGGAAGATCTGAAGAGCTTGCTTTTTCGGTAAGAGTAGCAACATAGGGATGAAGCAGAGTATCAGAGGCAGAGATACGTTTTTCAGACTCGCAAATCAGCATCTGGGCAATGAGGTGATCAGCCGTATTTAATTCGCGAGACTGTAGTATCTCCACTCCTTCCTGGAAATGTGCTTGGAAAGGTCAAGAGACAAACTCGGCAACAGCTTAGTAGGAGTGAGTCTAGCAAAAGGTTGGATAGTGATAATGACTTTGCACGCGCAGGCGATACATGACGTTCGTCATCTTCGTTGTCTAGACTTGCAAACCAGCTATCATCTCGCTTATAGTAGACAGCACCATCCACGTTAGTCAAAGTTGATAATCAAGTTAGTGATGCCCCCAACATTTTGATGCCCTCAAACTTATAAGTCTAATTAACTTTGCTTTATTGACACCTAGAAACCACAAAAAAAGTCAAGGCTACTCTATAAAATATGTAAGAGCATATATAATATAAAGGAGTGTATTGAATTCCCAAAAATCTCGACATTATTCCAAATCATGTCTGCAGTAATAATAATGCTTGTTTCTCTCACTTGCCCCCTCTCTCGGCTGTCTTCTCATCGCCCATGAATATCTATCAGAGCCTCCAATCCTACTACCAAGATGTTGAACTTTCCAACATCTTGTAGACATAATGCCTACGGTCTCGATAATTAAGGCCCAGCACCGTTTCTGGTCCCCGACCAGAGAGGTAGTCGCGGAAAGTTTCTTTCCCGGTGACCTCACCCTAGATTATTCGGCGTAGCCGAATATCGGAAGTATATGAGGATTGGAAGCTCTTCCTATAATATCGCCTCACTCTTCCAGAGAAAGTTGGTCCATTATCTGCTCAAATGCTTGTTGTGCGCGAGCCCTCTCACGCCGTCGCAGATGACAGCGGAGCTCGCCAACCCCACCTTTTCCTTTGGTGAGAATTTTTAGGGGAACGTCGTCGTCATCGTAGGCTTCGTTTAGGATATGAATAGGTATGTCATAGGACTCGTTGATCTTCAAATATGAATATCGATCGAGAGTCGGAATGTAGACGGCTGTTTGTCCGCGGTCTGTCGTGAGGTGGGATTGAAGTTGCAGTTGGACTGGGAAGGGCTGCTTTCGGAGCGGGGCGATGTCAGGGTGTATGATTAGATTGTCTGCGAGGAGAGAAGAGTTCTCCAAGCAGAAGTGCTACTTATCTATCTACAGTGCCTTGTTTCCCGAAATCTACCCGACACCAAGCCTCGAATTCACTGAATCAAATCTGTTACATAAGGTCCCTCTTTCCTACACCTTTTCTCGTTCCGCAAAAGCTCTCAACCGTTCGTTCTTTGTCGGTTTAGGCTTATTAGGGAATCTAGTCTCGAAGGTACGTATCGAGGCTACGCTATAGATAACATTGACCAATGGCTCCCATGAGTTCTCCTCTTGGCTATAACCTCGCCATCTTATCAGATATTCGAATTTTCTACCCTTCCTCCTCGAGTCTACTATCTCCTCCACTGCCCATAGAGCATGTCCTCCATCGTCTACTGTCACAGGTGGAGGTGCTAGGTTGACTTGCCCTGGCATCGGGACGCCGGCGGCGGGGCGTAGCAAATTAGTGTGGAAAACCGGGTGGATGGACTGTAATTCGTAGGGAAGCTCCAGCTTATAGGAGTGGGAGTTCATGATTTGAAGTACTCGGTAGGGGCCAATGTACTTGGCGTCGAATTTCGGTATAGGTCTCGCTGACTTGATATTCCTTGTGCTTAACATAACCATGTCACCTACTCTGTACGCTGGGGCTGGTGATCGGTTCGCATTCGCAGATTCCTCCATACGGTCCCTCGTAGTAAGCAAATTAGTACGTAAGTAGCCCAAGATCTCCTCCATCTTCCGAGCAAAAGTTCTTCCCGCAAGAGCGTTCTGAGAGGTGAGCGTAGGTGATCGAGGTGGCCCAAAACTCATGCGAGGATGATAACCGTTGTTTGCAAAGAACGGAGATATGCCAGTTGCAGAGCTGACTACGTTTCTCATAGCAAACTCGGCTAAGGGTAGGAATTGAACCCAATCTGTCTGGGCGAAGTCGATGTACTGACGTAGGTACTTGGAAATGGATTTGTTAGCGACTTCGGTCTGGCCATCAGTTTCTGGGTGGTATGCAGTAGAGAGATCAACTCGAACCCGTAGTACTTCGCAGACGGATTTCCAAAAGTCTGAGAGGAATAAGGAACCCCGGTCAGAGACGATAGTGTCTGGTAGTCCATGAAGCTTCCAGACGTCTCGCACGAATAAGCGAGCCAGCTCGGCTGCATTCATATCCTTGTTGCATGGTGTAATGTGGCAATCCTTAGTGAGCCTATCTGTAACGACCATAATCTGGTCAAATCCATCGACCAACAGAATAGGGCCCATAAAGTCGACTGATAAGTCTCTCCATCTTTGAAGCGGTATTGGGAGTGATTTTAAAGTGCCCTGGTATCGTAGCTGGGAGTACTTGTTCCGAAGACAGTTTGTACAGGCTCTACAAAATTGGGTGATATCGCGGTAAAGTTTCGGCCACCAATAATGTCTACACATGAGCTCGAATAGTTTGTTCTTGCCTGGGTGACCGCTCTCGACCGAGTCGTGGGCTCTTTGGAGAAGCCATACTCGTAGTTCTGTATCTGGGACATATAGCCTGTCCCGAAAGTATAGCCTGCCGTCGTCGATCCGACACTCGGACAATGCGACTTCTTTGGAGTGTGGTGTGCGGTCTTCTCTGTTCATTTCCTTAGAAGTCTTCTTCCAGAAAGGGTCTTCCTTGTACCCCTCCTCTAACATCCTAGTCAAGATATGGTCGTCGGATTCAGTTCCCTGCTCGTCTGGTTCTGGTTCTGGTTCCTCTTGTTCAGTGGGTCGTTCTTCCTCGTTTAGAGGTGCTAAGCGAATGGCAGGGTCTAAATTTTGAGGTTTGAGAAGTGACTGTTGTTGGTATATAATCCGAGGGTCGTCGTCTCGGCTCGGGAGGTCTTGGGATCGACGAGTAAGTGAGTCGGACTTGGTGTTCTTCTTACCAGGTACAGGTTTAATAACAAAGTCGAATTCAGAGAGAAACTCGCTCCACCGGACTTGACGGCGGGTCAGTTGCTTAGTAGTCATAAAGTACTTCAAGTTGGAGTGATCAGTGATTACTGACACAGGGTACGCGGTTCCCACAAGTTCGGAGCGCCAGGACTCGAAGGAACGTACTATGGCAAGTAGTTCCTTGTCATAGATTTCGTAATTGCATTCCGCGGGGTCGAGGACTTTTGACATAAAGGCAACAGGGTAGAGAACTCCATCGTGGTATTGGGACAAGATGCCGGCCGAGACGTAGTCGGAGGAGTCACATTCGACAATGACTTCCTTCTCTGGGTCGAAGTGCTTAAGTGTTGGTGCAGAAGTGAATGCTTGCTTAAGTGCTTGAAACGATTTATCACAAGTCGAGGTCCATTCCCACCTTACGCCTCTCTTAGATAGTAAATTCAATGGTTTAACTAACCTCGAGAAATCCTTAACAAAGCGCCGGTAGAAGTTCGAGAAGCCAAGGAACGCCTGGAGGTCTTTGAGGTGAGCTGGCCTAGACCAGTTCGTGATAGCCGAGGTCTTCTCAGGGTCCATTCTCACTCCATCCGTTGATATAATCATGCCTAGATAGGTGACTTCCTGGACTTCGAACTGGCACTTCTTAATGTCCAGCTGGAAGCCGGCTTTTTCGAGAGCCTCGAACACTTGTTCGACCTGCTTACGATGCGAGGTCAAGTCGTCTGAATAGATGAGTATATCGTCTATGTAGGCAGTGCAAAAGATATCCAGGAACGGGCGGAGTACTTCGTTAATCCGGGCTTGCCAGGTTGCTGGAGCGTTCGTAAGGCCAAATGGCATGACTAGAGATTCGAAGAGGCCGTAGCGAGTATTGAAAGCTGTTAGCCATTCGTCCCCCTCCTTAATTCGTATGTGGTTAAATGCTGCAATGACATCGACTTTGGTGAAGTACCTTGCTTTGCTGAGTCGTTGGAGTGTCTCTTGGATTCGGGGTATCGGATACCGGTTTTTGATCGTAATATCGTTTAGTGCTCGGTAATCCACGCAAAAGCGTAGTCCTCCACCAGGCTTCTTTGCGAAAAGTACTGGGGAGGCAGCCGGGGATTTACTTGCTCGAATAAACCCCTTCTTCAGCTGTTCGTCGAGGTACTTACGTAAGACCTCTAACTCTGGGATAGACATATTATATAGAGGTCCATGGGGAGGAGATGAACCAGGCTTCAATTCAATCTTCAGGTCGCAGTCTCGATGTGGGGGTAGCGTATCAGCTTTCTGACGGTTAAATAACCGAGATGACCACTTCTTCAAGTGTGGAGGGAGCAAAGTCTCAGGATCAACGTGCTCTCCAGGGTTGTTGTACTTTGCGAGTGCCTTCTGGATGTCGTCTAGAGAGGCCCCGCAGAGGTAGAGTTCAGCAGCCATTTGGCGAGAATCGGTGGTTTTGTGCTGGAAGTCGTCCTGAATCAGTAACTCCTTTTCCATGCGCTTCTGGCCCGAGAGGCCATCGTCCATCCGAATGCTGTACAAGGTGTCGGGAGTAGAAGGGCTCGCGCCTAACTCCTCTAACCTTTTGTCTATTTCAAAAACAGATAGAGAGAACACTTCAACGCCGTGAGTAGATGCCAGCCGGTTGAAGGAGGCAGCGCTGACTTTCAGGGGCTTAGGGATATGTGAAACGTCGTGACGAGTGCATTTCACTTGAACCGAATCCAACCTCCTAGGCATACAGTGTCCTCTACAGTACGTAGAGCCAAAAACGATACTGTGGTTCGTCCAGTCAATTTGAGGGTTGTGGAGAGCGAGCCACGGGTGTCCTATGATGATGTTGTGGGAGGCGAGTTTAGTAACATGGAAGCGTTGTTGACGTTCTACATGCTTCCCGACAATCATGTCCAAGATAACTATATGAGTAACATCACCTGCTGAAGAAGGTCTCCCGTCCGCGATGCGGAGACGACGAGGCCGAGCGAGTGGGACGAATTCAAAACCACAATTTTGCGCATAATCGGAATCAATGAAATATTGAGCTGAAGCCCCAGAGTCGAGCATAAAGTAAGTAGTAGAAGTTATGTGTTTGGTATTGCCTTTCTGTACTACCTTACAAGGAACCTCCATCGTACTTTTCTGCCTTTCCTCTAGAGATGATATCTTCAGGACCTTCTTCCGAAGACGTCTCTGACGGCGACTTTCGTCAGAGACTAGACTTTTCCCGCTTCCTTCGCAGCTTTCGTCGACTCTCGAGCCTCAAGCTTGGGACATCCAGTGGTGCCAATATTGTGGTCGGGGCTATCGCAATAGTGGCAAAGGTCGTGTTTGATTTGGTAGGCTTTGCGAGCTGTCTTCTCTTCATCGGTCTTCGCACGACGCTTTGCTTCTACGTCCTTCTTAGTCCAAACGAGTCTTCCAGCAACTTTCATCATATCGAGCTCCATCGGGTCTTCGTAAGCAGTAGCAGTAGCAGTAGAGGCAGTAGGCGTCGGGACTGTATAGGGGGTAAGAGCCATGGAAGCGAGCTTGGTAGGCTTGGTCTTGGTGAAGTGTTCGCCGAAGATCTTTCTACAGTTGCGGTCTTGCTCTCGGACAAGGTTGACTAGGTCGTGGGGGGACATGTCGTCGCTATATCGGCCGCTGGAGAGGACTTGAGCATGAATGCGTCTGTCCATATTCTGCATGAGAAGGTCAATGACAGGGAAGCCTTCGTTTCCAGAGGCAGACGCCAGTGCTAAGAACGAGCTTAGAAATTGGTCAGTAGGGCGAAGTCCCTGAGTCTCTTTTTTCAATAGCTGCCAGCTGTCTGACTTACTATAGACATTACCAAAGGTTCGGCGTAAGACATCGAGCATGTCGTCGACCGATGACAAGCTTACTTTGAAGGAGCTATCGTCGTTAATGTGAGGGTCGATGTGTTTGCGAGCATCTCCTTCCAAAGTACTCAAGACATATGCCATCCTACTTCTCTCAGTAGTCCACCAGTCAGCGTTCTCGGCTAACTTCAGCTTCAGGTCGATAATGTATGTATGAAGTTCGGCAGCTGAGCGTCGCGTGCCGCCGAATCGTTGAGGGTCAGCGTAAGGTTGTGACCGAAGTGTTAGAGGGGGTGGGTAAGCGTGAACTTGTGGTAGAGGCTGAGGTTGAGCTTGGGGTTGGGCATAGACTTGAGGCTGGGCTTGAGTTTGAGCTTGAGCTTGAGCTTGAGCTTGATTCAAGGCTTGGCTTGTGGTATGAAATTGAAGTTGCATAGCGTGAAGTTGGTTTCGTAGCTCTGCGGTCGTATTCTGTTCTCTCTCAAGGTCTGTGATTGCTTCTTCTTCGTCGCGACGAGAGGTAGCGTATTGGACTTGAAGTTGGTCGTGCTTGTTGAGGAGGTCTTGTAGGGCGTTACGAATACCATCCGGGTCATTGGGAATAGTAGTAGGTTTACTGATGAGGTTTCGAAGTTGCTCAATCGTGTAACCTCCTTCTGGTGGTGGTGGTAGCTGGTGGTTGTCGCGGGAGGTGGACGAGGTGAATGGGTTGAGGAAGCTAGGCAAGCCGGTATTGGCTGCCCATCCTTCGAACCCGTTGTTGTTGCTAGTACTCATCTTGAGGTGTTTGCAGTACGATGGCGATGCCTGTCGTACGACAAAAATTGAGTAAAGGGCAGACAATATGTCAGGGTGTATGATTAGATTGTCTGCGAGGAGAGAAGAGTTCTCCAAGCAGAAGTGCTACTTATCTATCTACAG